CATCGGTGAGACAAGAAAAAAAAAAAAAAAAAGCCCTAAATCCGTAAAAAAACGGCCTGTTTGTGCCTGGAGGCTGCCGGGTTGGGAAGTTCCGCGTTCAAACCTCTCCTTCCTTCACAGCCGCTCCCAAAATCCAAGGCCTGGCTTTTGTAACCACCGCCGCTTCTCCAATTTTATCTGCTTTCCGGCTTTTCTTGGGAATTGTGTTTGTTTTCCCAGGTCCGCAGGTCTTTCGCAGCGATGCCGCGCGTGGGAGAAGAAACACCGAGTCCCTCGTTAGCCAGGAGGACAGAGGACGTCCTACCACCCCCCCGCAACCACGTAATTATTTCCCTCCGCTATTATTTTTCTGCGCCGTGGGTTTTAACTCGTGCTCGCCCCTCGTAGCCCTCCAAGTTCTGCTGTCCTCCCCCCCCGAGCCCTGTCCCACCGCCACACGTCCCCAACCTTGAAGGCGTGGGGGACAACTTCTTGCGGAGATAAAGCCCTCCCCGTCGGGGACGCTGGGTTTTTACCTCTCCCTTAAGGTTCCCGATCTGCATCCGGCTGGAGGAAAGCTCCAACCCCAGATCTTCCGCGAACCTCCGGGTTGTGGGATGACCCAACAGTGGACACGAGGTGGCCACGAGCTCGAGAGAGCGCTTTTATTGATTTTTTTTTTTATTATTATTTTGTACACAAAATTTAGGGATTCTCGCTACCGTGTCCTCATCTGGTCCCGATGGTGACTTGCCACACCCGGACGAGGTTATCCGTGTAGCCGGCAAACAGGGTCTGCGGAGAGAAACGGAGCCGGGTCATGGGATGGGTTGGATGGCCGGCAAGGTGGGACCTCGGGACGTGAGGACGAGGGATTGCGGTCCTCAGAGGGCAAATCCCGAAGCAGAGAGGGCCACCATCAGCCCCAGAGGTTGGGGAGATAAAGGAGAAGAGCTCAAAGGCTGAGAAGGGGCCCGGGGAAGGAAGGGACCCAGGGAAGCCCCTGCCCTCACTGGCAGGGATGGCTCCAGGAGCGTCCTCGCGGTCCCTGCGCTCCAAGAGCGGCAGGAGGGACCCCAAAATCCTCGCTCCCCAGGGCTGGGGTGGCGGGGCAGGGAGAAGGGGATGGTTTTTACCTGCCCGTCCGCGGACCAGGCCAGGGAAGTGCACTGGGGTGGTTCGGCTTTGCTGCTGGTGCTGATCACCTCCTGCTTCAGCTCATCCACGATGATTTTGCCTTCCAGGTCCTGCGGGAGAAAGAAGAACGTGAAGGAACGAGGGGTCCTGCAGGGAGACTCCCACAGCCGAATCCAACCCATGTCCGGAACGCCCCGAGGGTCGCTCAGAAACAGCCTCTGGATTTCCGCACGGATCCGCCGCAACCCTCCTCGGCCGGGGGACGAGGCCGCGGGCGCCGCTGCGCGGCCCGCCCTGGTGGGGACAATCCTCCACGAGAGCTGCTCCTCCTCCGAGATCCGTGATCCAAAGTGAGGATCTCCACCACGAAGGTGACCCCAAACCCGGCACAACCCCAAAGCTGAAGGAAGCTGAGTCTTCTGGAGGAACCCTGCCCAGATGGGGCCAGAGAGGGGACGAGGACCGAGCGGCGACATACCCAGATCTTGATGCTGGGTCCGGTGGCAGCACAGAGCCAGTAGCGGTTGGGGCTGAAGCACAGGGCGTTGATGATGTCTCCTCCATCCAAGGTGTAGAGGTGTTTGCCTTCGTTCAGGTCCCACAGCATGGCCTGGCCGTCCTGCGGGGCAGAAGGAGGGGTCAGAGCGAGCCCCGACACTCGTCACCTGCCCCCGGGGAGGCCTTTTTCTGCCCCCGGGGAGGCCTTTTTCCGCCCCAACCGCGGTTAAGCCGGAGCACTTTGCCTCAAGCCAGCGTGGATACAGAAAAGAGAAAGGACGCAGCAAGAAAATGCAAAAGAAAAAAGAAAAAAAAACCCACATCGAGGACTGAAATAGAAGAGCTAAAGAAGGTTCCCAGAGCTGGGTGAGCATCTTTCTCGTGGTCTTCTCTCCTCGCTTGACATCTGCTACTAGGACCATGAGGTCAGGCCAGAATTTTGGGCTGTTATCACCCCGCTCGAGCCGTGACCAAGGCGTGGAAGCCCATCCTCAGGGTGGGAGACGCAGAAATGAGCCCCAACTGCTGGTAGGACGCCAAGATCTCATCTCAGGGCCTCGGCCTTCCCCCCGTGACACGTACCTTGCCACCGGAGGCACAGAGGGAGCCGTCGGGGGAGACGGTCACCGTGTTCAGGTAGCCCGTGTGCCCGATGTGGTTAGTCTTCAGCTTGCAGTTAGCCAAATTCCAAACCTGGGTGGGGAAAAACACGGGGGTCAGAAGAAAAGGGGGTTAAACTCTGCTACTGCACCCCAATTCTGGGGATACGGGGGGGGAAAAGACCCTCCCCCGAGCGCTCTGGCTGCTCCACTCCTCCCCTACCGTTGCAGATCAGCTGGGGGAAGCTGATCCCACCTCACCTTCACCAGCTTGTCCCAGCCGCAGGAGACGATGATGGGGTTGCTGCTGTTCGGGGAGAAACGCACGCACGACACCCACTCTGAGTGGCTCTCGTCCTGGGGAAGAGGAACGACGCCGGGTTCACGGCGAGGAAACGCGGCCGGGTCTTCCCCGCCCCGTCCACGGGGCGCTGCAAGATCAGACATGCAGCATCCCGTCGTTCCGCAGCTTTCCCAGGTCTCCCCCTCATCCCCCATCCCTCATCATTGCAGGACTTGTCCTCAGACCCCCCCCCCAGGGAGAGGTCAGC